GGCTGCCGTTGCTGTTTGATTAAATCCACAGAAGGTTGGTTATGTTTAAAGGGAATGTTTCACCTTTTACCATATTGAAGCAGGCATCAGATATGACGGCATAATCTCACTTCTAACTGTTCGTATACTCCTTGATGGGAAAGACTAGTTTAGACAACACAGTTTCTCTGCTTAGTGAATGGGCTCCTCAATACATCATTGTTTGATTACGTCATCGTACCTAGCACAGCATTGATTGAGAGGTAATTGACGGCTGCTGCGTTTGGAAATTGTACACACGAACTTGTCTTGGTATTGACTGCCGTAAGGCTAATGGAATGGCAGAATTTGAATGACGGTCTTATGGAGCAATGGATGCCTGGGTGACTCTGAAATAGTCTCCCAGAGAAATGCTGCTCATCTTCGCAGGCGTGTGGCTAAGAAACTAGAGGGGTTTAGTTCTTAAGAAGTGCACGGCTGTGAGTTGCACAAAATGAGCCTGAAGATTATTGCTTTAGTTTAAAACCCCATACAAATGTAGAACACTCCCTTTAAAGGGGAAAGAAGGCATTCACGCAAAAAGAAAAGTGGGCACACTTACGTCTGCGTGACAAATTATCTATGTAGATTTTGTATAAATGCAGTGCCATTCATTGTTTGGTTGTCAGCTGTTGGGACCAGTTTGCTCGCTGAGCACGGATTGCGCGATGAACGCTGATCTCACCAACGGAGAATGCCGTCTTACGGGATATTTTCACTTAACCTGACCGCCAAGTAGAACCGGGTATTTTCAAGGCCCTACAGAGGGTTTCGAAACGGTCGTCCGCTGCTAAAGCTTTCCTCGTTGTCGGGGAAAAACGACGCAGTTAATGGGAATGGACAATCAATGCGCAGGAATTGAACCTGCTTGGTGATGGGTCTCGAACCCACTGCGACTGCCCCGCCGTATGTTGGGGCTGGTGATCCGACCATTGTGCCACCGGGACCGAGAAACGCACGAGAAACGCACAGCAATTGTCTGGTGCGAAGAACCAATCCGCATATAGAGCGCTGATTTATTATTGATATAAAGTCTAGTCTGATACTGAGATATCAGAGGTCTGAAATCAGAAGTCTGATATTAAAGCTGAGAGTCGAAGTAATTGAGGTGAGAAATTGTCGTTACTGTAAGAGATGGTGAGAAACATCGCTGCCAGGGCGCGCCCATCTCACCCTGGACGCGGCGGCAGGGCGATGTGAGCGCTGAACGCGCTAGTGAGCAAAAACCTATCTTCCGAACCGCCAGCGCAAGGAGAAGGTTCGGGTTATTGCCGGGTCCGCGGTCGGCAGGCGGCGGGCGTCGCAAGGATGATTAGGCCATTGCTGGAATTGTGTTGCAGCAGTGGAGATTCCCGGGAGAGGAGAGGTCTGCACCAAACCATGTCATTCTGGCATTTTGTATGCCTAGCTATTTTTCACACTCAACCTTGAGAAGGCTGGCCACAAAGTATGCCTTTGGAGTTACGTCCCTGACCACTGGGATGGAAGACCGCTGCAAATGATCGCTTACGTGGGAAAGTACACTCCAAGACGTAAAGACAAGCTGTAGGATAGAGAGTAATATAAATTCCTGGGTCTGTCATTCCCAGGCTGCAAAAGCCAGACCTGCTATACTGCGATGCGTTTCTGCACCAGCCTGACAAGCACCAGACACCCTGTATTCCGCACGCACCCTGTGTTCCCACGCAGACGAAGGACCCCTAGGACGCGGCGCACGAGATTTCTGCGCGGCCGAGTCCGGCACATGCGCCTGGGGACGAGTCACGAGACCTGCACGGACCTGGCGCCTGGGGACGAGCCCCGAGACCTGCACGGACCTGGCGCCTGGGGACGAGTCACGAGACCTGCACGGACCTGGCGCCTGGGGACGAGTCCCGAGACCTGCACGGACCTGGCGCCTGGGGACGAGTCCCGAGACCTGCACGGACCTGGCGCCTGGGGACGAGTCACGAGACCTGCACGGACCTGCAGTGTGGCGATGACGATGCGTCGGGCTCGCTGGAACACCTCCTCGTCACTCCAGTCCGGGTGCTCCTCCTGCGCACGCAGGGCCACCTTGTTGTGCCAGCGGAAGAAGAGGATGCCGAACGAGAGCAGCGCCGGGTTCTGATTGGTCCGCTCGTCTCCCAGCACTGGAACGGGCACGTGGTGATTCTGATTGGTGCCTTCGGCGCCCGACACTGCAGAGACGCGTGGTGAGTGGTTAGCTGGACTGAAGGCTTACGGAGGAATATCAAGCAGACCAGTGAAGATCAGTCTTGTCCGTGGCCAGCATTGAATCCCACTGTTACCTGCTTCGAAACTGAGCGTCGTGGCCCTAGGCTGCATGCTGAACTGCGTATTCTCGGGTAGACTAACTTCGCCGGATAAGCATGATGGTGCAAGAGCCAGCAATATTTGAGATATTATTGAGCTGAGACATAGCTCACATGAACATATATTATTCCGACCAGCTGGTTTTACTAAATCGAACTTTCACGGACAATCCCTATGCCGTCCTCAGCTTTGATCAATGATGGCCCGGCACAAGGTTATCAGCCTAGATCTGATTATACCGGGACCGATCATATCATTCCGGCCGGATCACTACATAAAATATATTATTTGAACCACCTTTTTTTCCCTAACGCAGCCTTGATGAATAGTAAGACAATGTTATGGCAGTGATATGACTAATATGGCTCTCGTGACGACACTCGTTACTGTCACTCGCTAACGTTGACACATTGACACTCCTGACTGGCGAAGCCTGGTGAATGGACAAAGATTATCCCGAGAGCTCCCGTTCAATAAAAACAACCTGGCTGAATAACACATTTTAACCGTAGCCGGCAACTCTAACCGCCCAGTGATGTGCTGTGACGTCAGAGATAAGCAGCGGAACATCCGTTTTGGACGTCCTGATGATGCACTGCAAGCAATGCATCGGACGTGGACATGACCATGGCTCAGATACTCGGAGCCCCGAGCAATTTGCGGCTAGACGTGCATGCGATGAATGCTGATGATGCGCCGCACTCTGGGTTAATTGGCAGGTGCATCCCACACAGAGGTGATAAAAACTGCCAGTTTGATGGCGCTCGGGAAGGATGAGGCGATTGAATATCGTAACTCTTACCGAACAGCCGGCGCATTATCAGATCTTACGCCACGCGAGAGGTAAACGCAAGGTTGTATTACGACCAGCGCTGAAAAAGAATTAAAGTTTATGCCGGGGACGAAAGAACAGAGAGCAGGCTTGATGCCCTAGCCGTCTTTACGGCATCTTGACGCTGGGAATTGGAGAACGGAAGCCCGAGATGAAGACATCGTGCTGACAAGATCACAGGGGGTTCTGATGGTACGCGCGGTTATCTCCGTGCCGCCTCCGGTCACCAAATGACGGGTTGGGCCAATAAACTCAACCTCCCCACACAGCACGATGCCGTGGGTTTGTTTGCGCTGCGCTCATTGGCATTGTCAGAAAATAAAAGGGCGCGATATAGTGCATCAGTTATGCCCCCGTATTGACTTAAGCTGCTCACACACGCATCCACCAATGCAGTTTATGTTTTGATGCGTACGTCGGCGGAGCCATGGCTAGCTAAAATTTGAGGACCTCAGACAAATTCACAGCTTATTTGACAATCCCTTGCCAAACTTAAGACCTATTTAAATGTCATCCAGTCACGAGCATTTAAATCTGAAACAACTCGTCGTCTTAACCGTAATGTCTTCATGCGAGTCATCACTATTTCGACGAGTCCCTCCTCCCCCCACCCCTCTATCTCCCAACAAGATAAGCTCTGAGGGAAAAACTTCCGCCTTTAACAGACGCGCAGCCGCCTGCAAGGCTTTCTGTAGCAGCATAGGCAACAGCTATCGACTGTGTACGCCATTTGGCTCATTTCCAAGGCGACGTTTGAGGACCGCCGTCGGCGAGGTGTGGGTCTGCACAGCTACTGCCGGGAATGCAGGGACCTTGGCCTAGGTGAAAGGCATCTAGGTTTATAACCCAGTAGGCATATGTAGCAAATTTAGTGTACTCTGCAGCAAATTAACTCGCTTATGGCCCATGGACTCTAAACGTGACCAGTTTAGAACGAATTACACGCTGTACTTACAGATAGGCTTACGACATCGATATAAGTGAGTCAAGAACAAGCCTTTACCCTGTTCACCTCGACGCAAGTATGGCAATCTGAGTTTCCCTCGCATTGTCCAAGTGCATGATAGCGATTAACATTCCGTTTAAGTATGCCTGATTGCTTGATACTGATCATCCTGAGGCACGAGACATCAAGCCTCATGATTGGATGGCAGGGGCAGATGAGCCGCGTGCAGAGCACGGCACGGAAATACGCCTCTCCAATCCGAGCCTCGCCAAAGACCAGATGAAAACACATGCATGCACCTGCAATGTCAATGTTTGGGTTTTGGGTTCAGAAGGAACACACAGGCCCGCCTTGGGGCAGACTCAGAACCCAAACACGCGATGCAAACCGTTCGGATGGTTCAGCACGAGTATGGCCTCGACATCAGCTTATGGGCATTGCCACACTAACGAACAGCACGTCCCACCCAATGCTCAATGCCCTCCGTCCCATCATGTCACCGTATCGATTCCGGCAGAACTTTCTTTCAATGCACATGTGGTCCGCTTAATCACCAAGAGCCATAAACACAAAGCCAAACAATGCCCCAGCGATGCTGCGGCAACAGCGTGCTGTTGAGTCTCGTTGCAAGGGTGTGAATGTCGTGACCGGCGAGGCATTGGACTTGTCAGCGTCCCGTGTTCAATTGCCGCACCGCTCGTAACCCACCGCCGTGGAGTACTCCCACAGCGTATCCCCTGCCGTGAACACCGACACAGAGGCAGTGACGCCGAAAAACGGGGCAGCTGTTCACGGCGGTAAATACCAGCCTCGTGCAGCATCTGACGTGTTGTTGCATGTTTCATTTTGCATGATAAGGAATGCGGAAAACGCCCCACATAGCTCACCGACGCCTGGGAAGTTCATGATTAACACAGCACGTCTTGACGACGGCCACCCTGGCCAGAGCCTGGCCATGACCGCGCCAGACGGCCACATCTAGCGTCATGCACCAAGGCGAGTGATAGATTTCACTGCGCCGCTCCCTGTTATCGATGGGAGCGCGAGCTGCACGGGCGGCGTGTGAGACCTCGGCGAGCCGGGCCCTGGCCCAGTGCGCCCTGTGGCGCCGGTTTACGGCCACGCCGCCCTCGAGTCGGGCCCAGGCCTCGGCCGCGGCCGCCGGCTGCGCCAATCAGTGTGGATTGGTGGCGGGCCGGCTGGCCGGGCGCGCCCACCGGCGCGCGCGTCTGGGGTCGCCTCTGCGGCCGCGCAGGGGCGCCCCCGACCGGCCAACTGGGGCAAGGTCGGGGCCGAGTGGGGCGGCCCTCGCCGGCGACGACCCAGTGGCACTCGGCGCTGCTGGACAGCGGCTCGTCCCTCGACCAGGCACGCCCATCAGGGCCGTGGAGAGGTTGCGGAGAACGCTGCGGAAGTGTTGAATGCAGTGTGGTAGATATGGGTTCTGCAGGTGCTGCTTCGTTAACACAGCCCGTCGATAAATCAGTCTGAGCGAGCGGAATAAAAGGCGACGATGCTATCGCATTCATATCTCGCATCCAGTTGTATGCATCTAACAGGCTCAACCGGTATCAGCTGATAAGACACGAGTTGCAGTGATAAGGCGGTATCGATCACTGGGCACCAGCGTTCTGGCTCGCAAGAGACAGCATCATGGGCACCAGTGTTCTGGCTCGCAAGAGACAGCATCATGGGCACCAGTGTTCTGGCTCGCAAGAGACAGCATCATGTGTTCACCAGTGTTCTGGCTCGCAAGAGACAGCATCATGGGCACCAGTGTTCTGGCTCGCAAGAGACAGCATCATGGGCACCAGTGTTCTGGCTCGCAAGAGAGAGCATCATGGGCACCAGTGTTCTGGCTCACAAGAGACAGCATCACTGGTGCCCAGTGTTCTGGCTCGCATGAGACAGCATCATGACGCAAGGCCGCAGGCTCCGGTTAAGAGCCATGGAGCTTTCCAAGCGTGACCGATGGGATAGGCTTACCAGAACAGCACGGTGCAGTGCATATATATATATATATATATATATATATATATATATATATATATAACTATGAGCCCAGTAGTAAGCACAATAACAGGCATTTTAGCAATCAGTTTTTGGGAGTACGTACAAGCGAGCTGGACTGATCGACCGGTGGATCTGTGAGTGCCCTATAGATGAGACGAAGAGGTGAGATAGAAAACATGATATTAGTGGGCCGCTGTCACCACATGGATAACACGCCGCTTGCTGTACAGTGACGGAAGTTCTTATGTAGTGAGCCTAATGCTTTTTGTTGTTGTACTTTTCGGGCGAACTGTATTGTTTCAGAGGGGCTAAACTTACTTCGTGACATGGGTCATAATGTCAGTGGATGAGAAACTTGCAACATATATTTCGCAATATGAGCCGTTTGCATGTATATCTCTTCGAGTATGTGCCGTTGATAAAAATGTATCACTCCAACATAACATGCAACAGAGCCATAACTACTTGCAGGAAGCTTCGGCCAAGGTTTCGTCTTCGTCAGGCAATTTTCAATTCATTTGTTTCAATGCAGACCTAATTAATCAACGGTGATAACGAGCCAACTACTTCGCCTCTCGTTATGAGACTGAAACAAATGTACACCCGCTCCTCAAATTAATTCTGCTTCAGTTACTTGCAGTTCCCACGACCGTTCTATCTGATCAGTTTCTTGCAGATCACTGCCAATTTCGATTTGCCGTACGGTCTTCTCTGTTTGTAATGCATAGTTGACGCTCAACCGCTTGTGCGCGCCTTAGTCAGCACATCGTGTCACAAGGCGCCAGAGGAAAGCGCCGGTGCCTTCATGTCGGTCGTCTATCTGCAACTTTCATCTGCCGCATGCAGTTGTGGAACAGCAACGGCGGACCATTAATTGCGGACGCCGCGCGGGGTGAGGTGTCTGGCGGACTCGGCTGGCTGTGTGGTCGGGTGCGTGACCGAGCCCGCACGGGCCCGGTGCCCTGCCGCGCCCCGGAGCGAGGGCGCAGGCGCGGTGGCCCGTCCCCTCTCACCGCCCGCGGCCGCAGCAGAGGCGAGCCACTCCAAGTGTCCTCGAAATTCCGCGGGGAACGAGGGCCTAATGAGATCCAGGCTTCTTTTAGAAAGTGAGTGACGAACCCAACAGCGAGGCACGCTGTCTGTCTTTGTCAGCTGGGGGCGACCGTGTTGTTTTCGGCAACGGGTCTCGTGCCTCCCGCTGGCTTTTTACGAGCATTGATTGGCCGCAATCAACGGAAATGTTCGCACGATTTGGTTCCATGATGATTAAGAAAAATGGATCCGTGTGGAGATAATTGCGTGGTGGAGAACACTAATTATGTAATACCGTTACATAGCCAATGTCCACACGTGAACGAGGGGGTGTTAAATCTAGGCCTAGAATCTAGACCTACCTTCCTCACTTGTCCCTGCCTTCCTGAGTTCCTAACCAGTCGAAGCCGTTTATTGCACTGCGCTATAAATGCTTATTATCTCAGCTGCCCGGATGAAATAGTACAGCTGCCTTAGAGGAGATGTTGAACAACAACCCTGATTAAGTCCGATGCACTGTCTCAATGAGACAATGCGTCGTCCAGCCACACAAACAATAGAGACATGCCATAGGTACTCACAGTACATTCGCTCGGGCGAGAGCGTTTTGAACAGGTGGGGACTGGGCTTGTTCATGATGGGTACGCGCTCTTTGTTGCGTGGCGGCATGCCATTCTCGTCGGTGCGCAGCGTGCCGTTGCTGAAGGACCTCATGGTGTTGACCCAGGCCTCGCTGGTACTGTAGACGAAGCTGCCATCAATCCAGCTGGTCTTCGAGTTGATCTGTCGGGAGTGAGATCACAGGTAAGCCACCGGCCGGCCTAGCTGGAGAGTCGTTCTTTGCCCAACTGCTTATCCGCGCTGCCACACTCGCCTGTTGTAAGCCTGTGGCTTAGGGAGGGGGAGGGGAGGGGCTACTTACCTTACGCGCCTTAAGCGTCTTACCAGGCGTAGGGTTGGGAGGGAGCTTTGTCTCCCGTGTTCAAATCAAAACCAAGGAAGGTGGAGCGTTGCAAGAAAGCTTAACGTTGGATTAACCTGTTTTCTACAAACAGACTGTTCTTTAAAGCCCCTCTCCACCCACATTTTGTCATAAAAAACGAAAAATTAATTTCTGTTCATCACTTATCTAAATATGGAAGGACTGCTCTAGACTGCACAATTCTCTGTTTAGTAAATATACTCCCCAATGCGTCATGGCTTGATTACGTACTTGATCGCACCTTGCACAACAATGATTGAGAGCCAATTGACGGCCGTTATATCTGGAAATCACACCATAAACGCCAGATATGAACGCCTCCACAATCATATTTTTTGGCCTTGATCGCCGCATGGCTTATGAAATGGCAGGATTTGAATGACATTATTATGACGTCGTGAATGCTAAGTTGACTTAGAAACAGTCTCCCCGATATACCTAGTCCCATTTTCGCGTGTAGCCGTGTATAGACGTGTAGACGTGTAGCTCAGAAACTAGAGGGACTTCGGTCTTAAGAGGGGCATGGTTGTAAACACCACCGAAGGTTTTTCAAGATTTTTAAATGTCAATTCCACCAATTCAGCTCAAGACCCCATATAAATGTGAAGCACTCGTTTAATGATCAAGTGTGGAGCATGCTAGTAAGGCGTCTGTGACATCCATAGCCTACGTTATCAGTAACATGGTAGCTGGCCGTGTGGAGACTCGAGGGAAAGCAAATACATTGAAGATATCGCTCTTACGCACGCCAAAATCGTACAACACACAGTAGAGCGACATAGGGAGACGTCACCTCCACTGGATCTCTGCTCTCCCACTCAAAACGGACGGCTCAATCCACCACTGACTAACCACGCGCTGACAGCGCCATTTCACCTGATCTGGCTCATATCGGAGGGTATCATGACCTCGTTATTACCCACTTCGTTCTTGACACCGAGTTGGCAGAGGTCACGTGACCTCAAAGGCCAGCGATCTCCATTATCGCAGCGCGGTGCGCGTCTGCTCTCTCGCCTCGCGCCTCGCCAATGAGCTAAGCTGCGGTGGGACAGCTGTACCGCACCCAAAAGTGGCTCGATAAGGGCAAGCGTTCTATTAGGAGAGCGCTTCCCAAAAGATGCATGCATTTTCATTATTGCCATTAACGTAAGTGTTTCACTAACACCCAGTTTAAGCATCACCTCTGCCAACGCATGACGGGCAACGTCTTGAGCGCGACGAAAACAAGCTTCGTTACGTGAAGCGTCTGAAACCCAAACGCTCACCGTTCCCTGGGCATGTTTGGACTCTGGCCAGTCGTTGCGTCATAGCCGGCCCGGTAGAAGGGCATGTACTTCTCTCCACTGCAGTCGGCGTCATACATCTCGTCACACTTTTCTACGTTGATCTTGTGCATTTCTATCGGACAGCCCATCTCTGACGCCATCAAGATTTCAGACGACACCATTTGTCCTGCGGAACATAAACTCCGTGACAAAAGAGGCATACAGGTGTAAGGTTCGGTGCCGGTGTTCGTGTTACATGCTGGGGTCACTCGTGCCGGCCACTAATCACGCTGGGGGGTTAATTAGCAGAGTTCACATCGCCGGGGGTCGCAGTTTGCATGATGAGTGGGCATGACCATGAGGGATTTGCACCTCGATTTCAAGAGCAAAACTGGTTTTGCGTGATCCCGTTCACGGCCCAAGCATGTGGACATGAGCTGTTTGCATGCTCGGAGAGACTATGCCATTACGAGCGCCTGCAAAACACGGCTTTAACTCGCTAGTGCCTTGTTCATATGAGGCCATACCTTTCCGATTGAATAAAGACGTTTCAGTCATCTGTTTAGGAGCATTACCATTCTGCTCTATCGCAGTGATGGACATCCTGTCCGCCGTGTAGACAGCTTCGCCCTATTTTATGCACTTACATCCTTTTACACCAGCAACCGCTGCAAGGTAACCGCCCGGTTTGCAAATACACTGACCTGCTTATTCCACTGCCTCCAAAGCCAGCCAAACTCTGCGGCCCAGCACCACGGGACCGCGCACCGGCGCTGCAGAAATGTATTGGAACGCCCGGCCCACGTGCCGTTTTCCCTCACACCCCAGCCGAAAAGCACGTTAGACAAGTCGCCGGCAGGCGGTCGCCGGGCTCACCGAAGAAGACCAGCAACGCCGTGCGGTTCTTGCGCGACGGCATGCCGTCCTTGCCCTTCATCAGGATCCTGCTGAGCTTGCGGGGGCTGGGCCGGTCCTGGCCGGCCATCATGTACACGCCGTCTGCGTAGGACGGCGGCGCGTCTTCCGCGTCAGTCGCTGCTCTGCGAAAGGTCAAGGTCAGGGTCAGGCCTAGGCAACCGGACCGGGCTGCGTGCGGCAGTCCTGCTTGTACGGCAAAATGTCAGAGATGTGAAGGCACGTCTAGGCTTATCAGGAACGGAACGCTTTGGCCTTCCCGAACCACGTTGTGTACAAAGCAAGGCTTGTGGTAAACTGGCATCGGGTCTAGTAGACCATGTGTTCAGGCCATGAGACATCATATTGGGGTATGTTGATACCTCATGTATCGAGAATATATGAAATCGCCGAGCCGGTGGATATACGGCACGTGCCATGTGATTCAGAAGCGGTGCCACACCTCAGTGTCGCCATATCCCGCACAGCTCACCGGAAACCCGTCTGCACGTCACTCAGAGTGCAGCAGCAGGGGACAGCGGGAGGGATGGGGGGGGGGGGGGGGGCGGGGGGCAGTGCTCCGGGACTTAGAAAAATCTTCATTAATCCTTCACCATTCCATGGAAAAACGAGAACACAACACTCCCTTGCCTACCCAGAACTTGTGGAAAGTGCGTTCATCTCCCATTGTTTTGCAGGGACCAGAGCAGACGTAAACATGACCGAAGGTTTAGCGGGACTCCGCATCAAGCGGTCACCCAGGTACGCTGTCATTTCCACGTGTTTACTGGCCTACGCCTATAAAACAACTTTTTACATCGCAATGCCAACTACGATAATTCAAGGATAAATATCAAGCGATGTGGCCACTCCCTACCACGGTCATGCACGTATCCGTTACGCAACACCCACATCCTTGAAGCGCAGCTCCCTGTTCATGCCAGGCCGCATTCTTCACCAGCAGCGCCTCAGTGGGAGTCGCCTTGTCAACGCTGCCAGGTAGTGAGGTCTGTCAAATTAGCAGCGTTTCGCACGCTTAGGCGCCTGGGCGTTCCAGCGCCGCCCACTTAGACAAGCGACGGAGTAAACAGCTCCGGCCGCGGCGGGAGAAACCATTGCCTGGCGCGTTAATGGGTCACGATCTGTCAAAACATTTCTATTGATCTCTCTCCCTCCCGCTTGTGCCGATCTATGCTTCGTCTTGTTCCCTCTTCTCCGCCTTTCTCCCTCTCTCTCTCTCTCTCTCTCTCTCTCTCTCTCTCTCTCTCCCCTCTCTTTTTCTCTCCCTCTCTCTCTTTCCCCCTCTCTTTTTCCCCTCTCTCTCCCCCTCTCGCTCTCCTCCTCTCTTTCTCTCCCCCCTCTCTCCTCTTTTTCTCTCCCTCTCTTCTCTCTCTCCCCCTCTTTCTCTTTCTCTTCTCCCTTTTTTCTTTCCCTCCTTCCTATCCCTCCTTTAGAATCTCTCTACCTTCTATCACGATGTGATAACGTGACCTTGAGCCTCCGTCATACCTCATTATGTCATGTCATGGTGGGCGTGTCTGCAGACTTCCACTGTCAAGCAAGAAAGCAGAAAA